GGTAATGTCTGGAAGGGACCTTGTTAGGGAATAGGTGTAGACTTCTGGAGGCAATTCCTCTACAAGTGAAGGTAGAAGCCAAAATTGACATTGAGCACTCTTCTGCTATCAACAAGTACATTTTTAAGTACTGGTAAACTGTGGAATCCATTATTAGTATTAGTTATGATGTTCCACAGGATCTTCTTCCTCATTCAGTGTACGTTGCTAACCATGAGTCAGGGCTGTGTGGTGAAGACTGCTTATACCGCTTGTTGAAAGAATCATCAGTGGGTGAAACTGATGATGAAAGTGCTCCTATGGCTTAGGCAGATGAGTGCTGCTTGGGGACCTGCATTCTGCCCTGTAACTGAATTTCTGGTTTAGGCAAAACATTTAAACCACAGCTCTCAAAATTGGCTGCTAATGATTTCTGCTTCCTCTCCTGGGTATTTGAGCTGAAATCTACAAGTTTTGGTTTGGAAAATGTAAGCACTTCTAGCTGGAAAGCAAGCTGGTGGGAACTTTGTTTCAGAAGATGTAAAGGACAATTTAATATCAAATACGCTGAACAATTTAGTCTCCCAGCTTATCAAATTGGGCACATAAAAATTAGTGGATGCATCTGACTGAATCACTGTACTTCAGTTTCCACCAGCAAAATAAAGTGAATACCATCAGCTCGTAGTAAGGTTGAAAAAATAAATCTAACATTTGTGTAGTGTTCAGAAAATGCACCACAAGACAGTCTCACACAGAAAATAATAATGTGCTTATGTAACAGGTTTTACTTAGAGTAGTATAAATAAAGCAGAAGTCTACATTGTGAAGCATCATAAGAAAAAAAATGCTTAACGTTAAATATTCAGTGAGGGCTATTTGTTCTGGGCACTGAATAAGGAAAAGTAATATCTGATCCTATAGTTAAATACCATGCTAAAACTAATGAGAGCACTGAATTATAATGATTTATGCAAGCATGGTTCAACCATTTCTGAACTTTGGGTGCTTAAATTCTGTCCTATTAATACCTGAAGCTGTGATTTTTTTGGGTATAATGTGTATGTCTTACCTGCCTATGTACATCTTCTAAACAGATTTTGATTTCTACAGTACTGTCTTTATTTTGACAGTAGCTTTTTGCTGCTGGGAAGGCATTGCTGGAATTGGAAACTGTGAATGGATTTGCCCTGTTCTTACTGTAGATTCAAGTTTTTTTAGATGCAGTAGAATATACTGTTTTTCTAGGCCTTAGAATAGAGAAACTTCTTATTTAGTTTATCAAATTATTTTCAGCTTCTTACTTCCGTGATTGAGATTTGAATATCCTAACAAGGGACTTCTAATGATAAGTCATTAAATTTTTCCAGTCTATGTTCAAGGAAACTGATCTCACAGTTAACCTGGAATGGAATGCATTGAAAAATAGATCATTTCCACCTCCCAGAAATTTTGCATGGAAAACTGCTTCTTTTGTTGTTTGTTTGTGTTTTTTAAACAGAACTGATGTCTGGTAGTGGGGCGGAGGGGAATGGAATAGAAGAGGACAGGCTGATTTACATAACTGTTACACAGCAAATGCGGCCGAAATAATTTTAAAAATTAATTGTTTGATAGACGCCTTAGCCTGTTTCTATGGCTGATATGTAAATATCAGCGTATTTCATAATTCTCATGCTTGGTAGATCCCTTGGTTTGGTGGAATAAAGTTATGTTAGGGACAGTTTCTGGTTTCACAGTCTGCTGGGGAAAAAAAAAACAGCTGAAGTAATTTATTCGCTGGCATTAGTGGAAAAAACCTTTTGGGTTTCTCTTCTCCCCTCTCCCTGCTCTCCCCTTCCATCATCAACAAGGTGATGAGCTTATTGAGTTATCTTTCCAGAGACAAATGGAGCATCATCTTCCATATTTATTATTTTGGGCATTTAATAGCTTTCAATTAAGAGAAGCTTCAGGCTTCTGCAGTTGCTTGCTGTGGCATGGGTTCTTAATTTTCAGAATCTCATCATGGCCTGCTCCTTGTTTCTGAAAAAAAAAACTGGTTTTATTTCCGGAGTGCCTTTTTAACCTAATTTTAATGATTTGAGTAGACATAATCACTAGATGAAGAACAGTCTTGTCATAAGACATGAGCAAGAGATACCACCCTTCCATTCCTCAGAGAAAAGCTTTTGTAGGAATTTCAGAGGTTTAAGAACGTAGAAGAATCATGTACTTTCTCTGCAACTTATCTGATTTGGGTTTTGTCCAAAAGAGCTCTGTTTCCAGCAAAACATATTGTGCAATAAATAGTTATGCACCCAACAGAAAAACAAACCTCTGCTCTTCTTCAGGAGAAACATATGTAGGGATTAAACCTTCAAAAGAGAAGTTATTTAGTAGAAAGTAGAATCTTAACACTAATTATTCACTATTAAGACTTAAAATTTAGGTACCCTTTTTAAGCAGCCTAAACAAGGAGGGCTGTTTGAATGTGGTACCAAATATCTTCTCAAGGACAATCCAGCTTGCTCCTTGAAAAGCTGAAATTGATAATTTATATTATTGATTATTAGTTTAAGGCTCTTTCCATGATGCGTGGGACTGCATTCATTCTTTGGATTTATAATAAACTCTTAGCAGTTCACTATTCTACTTCAGCAACGTGAAAAATGTGTATTTTCTACCATCTACATTCCTTGAAGCGTCTGATTTAATTGGCCTGGATTTGAAATTAGTTATTCTGTAAAGATCTATTTGAATTACTGCAAGAATTTTGTAATCCTTCACTACAGAATACGAAGTTATGCTCTTTTTCTTTTTTTATACCAATTATCAAGTCTGCGTAAGATTCTGTAGTTTACCTTTTACATAAAGATACGTATGGGTGCACAAAAAGATTAGGAATGCTTTATATAAAGGTGATGGGCTCTTCTGTGAAATGAAAAGTCCGAACATCTTTCTTTGAGTCAAAGGCAAACTGCATTGATGCACACAAATTACTGAAAAATTACCTGTTCTTAATTGTCCCTTTTAACTAAGTAATAATGAGCATGCCCTTTCTAAAGGTGCTGTAAGCAATAAGACTTCAACAGCTAATAATTTTGTCAAATTTTTTACAGTTAGCCATTTCAGATACATTGCCCAAGTGAGATACATTGGTAACCACTGAACTCTTAAAATTCTCTGGTGTCCTCTGAAGCACAGATAGAGCAAAGTTTTGGGGTTTTTTCATTGGTGTGTGTTTGTTTGTTCGTTTTTCCTCTGAGTATGTCAGTATGAAGGTCAGATATGATTTAATCTCCAAAATAGATGTACGTTCTCTAGAGTACTGAACCAAACTTGTATCATAATACAGTGGTTGAGTAGTTCTTAACTTTGAGGGTCATTAAAATTTTTGGCAAGTTGTATTTTTATCTGTTCTAGTAGTAACAGACTAGACTTCTCTCAGAGTTATCATTTAACGTGGAAATGGTACTGAATAGATTTCCCTTCTTCCCCACTGCCTTCACCAACCAAGTGAGGGGAGTCTTCCTATTTTCAGAGGAAACAGTTCTTTATGCCTTCAAACTGGCAGGGACCACTGAATATCTGCTTAGTGTGCAAATGGGTCAATTTGCCTGATCCATAAGGGAGACAGATGAAGTATAAAAGCTGTTAAGAATACTTATACAACCATATTTCCATTGTGTTAACTTCATAGAAGTTACTCTTTCCTAATGTTAATTTTCTTGCTATTTCATTCATAAACATTGTGGTGGTGAGAACTATTTGTGTGATCACTTACAGCACTCTAATACAATCATTCTGTTTAGTCCCCCTCATGGAGAAGCAAAGCCTGGTTCAAGCACTCTTCCACCCGTGAAATCAAAGACAAGCTTCATTGAAGCGGACAAATACTTCCTACCATTTGAATTGGCATGCCAGTCGAAGTGCCCCAGGATTGTCAGTACATCTCTAGATTGTTTACAGGTCTGTATGAAGATGAGATTTAACTGTCAACTATAAAATTCTGTTGGTTTGGAGGGGAAGTACAGTTGTATGTAACAAATAATGTTGTTGTTTTTCTATTGCTTTATTGCACACACAACCAAATTGAATGTATTTCTCACAAAAGGTGAATGTATGTCTTATTATGTAGTGCATATGTGTGTTTATTTGTGTATATATGTACTATCACAGTGACATGTTTGGATCAACTTTATTATGTTAGTGTAAAACTACCTATTTTCACGTGTGTATCTATGTGTTGAACTAACACAGCAGGTACCGCATTATCAGATGTATTTTATGCTATTTATAATTGGAGTAAAATATTTTCACTTTGAGACATCCAGCCTCTGAAAACTGATAGGCTCCTGTAGTGTTTTCAAAACAAATTCTACAGCATGGAATTTAGCCATTTGCTTCTCCTGAGTAGCCCAACAGTGAACTCTATTAATATATTCACATTCACAGGCACATGCATGCCTGGCATGTTGTCGCACTATGATGCCTTGCTACTCTGTGTATTTTTTGAGTAGGAGGCCATGGGGATTTACGAATACTCTCATGCCTGAAGTGTTCAGCAGATGATTTTGTTAATTTTGTAATAAATTCCATTTCAAAGTACTGAAGACCTAGAGAGAGGAAGGGATAATAGAACACTTCAAAACAGAAGACTACCTAGTAGCTGAAATAGAAAGCATTTGCAGCTGGTTTATCTGGTATTAAAAGCATTTGTGTGCTGACTACATATGAAGACTTGTGTGATGTGAGTTAGTTTTTAGAATCCTGTTTGTTTTAAAACGTTAACTGATGAACAAAAGCTTTAATGTTAAGCATGCTGACAAACTTTGTGTTGCAGTTGCTGAGTGAAAATTGAATAAATCTGGAGGACATTTAAAAAAAAAAAATCCTTGGCATTTTCTGAGACTTGGGTTAAAATGTACTGTTTTAATTATTCTGTGCAAGTTAGAGCTATCAAGTGAATTTATTTATTATAACAAAAAGCTGGCTTACTTTTTAAGCTCTTACTTACGTGTTTTTCTTCTCTTCTCCAGAAACTTATAGCATATGGGCACTTGACAGGGAATGCTCCAGACAGTACAGCTCCAGGCAAAAAATTAATTGATAGAATTATTGAGACAATATGTGGCTGTTTTCAAGGCCCTCAGACAGACGAAGGGGTTCAGCTACAAATAATAAAGGTAATATGATTAATACTTCCAGTATTTATAGTGGTGACAGCAGGAAGACATTCATGGCCTCAGAGTTCAAAAGCAAAGTGTTTAATTTGTAAACGTAATGGTAATTTTAAAATATTTTCTTGATCCTGTTTGTTTGAGATGGAAACTCCCTCTCTTATGCTCCTTTCCCTACTTTCTCCCATTGCATTTTGGGTGAGTTTGTGATTGTGACCTGAAGTCTTGTGCACAGATCCCTGGGTGAAATTTCATTCACAGCAGATCAGCAGAGCTCTCTAATTGTGAGGAATTACTATCAAATAGTCCTGCACTCCCAGTGGGGAAGATGGTAATTAAGCAGCAGATTTTTAATCCCATTTTGGAATTATTTTATGAAATGCAATTAGACCTGGCAGTCAGGCATTACCATGGTAGCTGTGTGCTGCTGTGTCATAGACTTTTGCTTGAAGGAGATCTAGGGTTTCTTTCCATAGCTTATATAAACGTTGCATGTAGGTTTTGTACAAATAAGTGTTTCTGGGGAATGTTAGCAGTTTTCTGATTGCACCCATTAATTATGGGTATTTATTACAGGAAATTACTATGTCAACTAACAGAAGTTAGCCACCTAGTGGAAATACCATACCCTACTCCTGTAACAGTAGTCTTTGAATGGTTGTGACGATGAGCAGTAGTGAAGAATACAGTTAAAGCTGGTTATGAGGGATGGCGTGTTTGTTATATTCTTGTGTATATATGTCATGAGGTGTTGATGTTTCTTGCAGATTGTGTTTACTTGTTCTACTGCAAAGAAGGTAGTTTGTTCCTCTACTCCTTTTCATGGCTTTAATCTTCCTTTTTCTTGACGCTCCCCTTCTCCAGCAGATAGTTGTTGCAAATGTTGTTTTATGCTGCTGTTGTCTAGATTTGTTGTGTTGTTTTGCCCAAGTATTTAAGACATTTTTCATCTTGCAAAGGGAAGTTGATGTAAACTTTCAGTGGCTGAAACCATTATACCTCACTCTCACTGTAATACCTTCTGTCTGAATGCTTTCTTGTTCCAGTCCTTGGTCAAGATGTTAAAAAGTTAACCTCTTGCCTGAAAGGGGGTATCTGTGAGCTGAAATTCTTTCTGTCTGAGAAAATAGTTGAGAAAGTAAATTCTTCAACAATTGTAAAATGCATTAAGTATGGAAATTCATTTAGCGCCTTGATTTTTTGACTGTTTAGACTTAGCTAATTGCCATGTTAGAATGCCTGGGAGAGTGGAGAGTACTGTTTTGGCTTTGACTCCTCCATGTTTGTCCAGTACACTGGACACTATAAAAAGCATCAAAATCAGAAATAATCTTAGCAAAGACCAGAACTTTTTACTTCCTTTGGGGGAATAATGAAACTGCCGGGTCAGTCATATTCTCTTAGGCTTCATAACTCTTCAGTTCTGGGCTGAGTGCGAACCCCGCTTCTCCAGTATTATTTGAAGGACGGATCATGTGTCTCTTCAGACTCTTCTTTGGTCCTGGTGATTAATATGTTCTCTGAAGAATTTTAATTCCATCAGGGAGATAGAAGGCAGGGGACCTGGGTCTCCCACTTTTTGTGCTGTTACTCACGACATGAGCAGTGCTCCCGCAGGGCAGCTGTATCACCAACACCACAGTAAAATCTGAGAACCTTGATCACTCGGGCACCTTCCTCCCTGGAGGGTCATCTCAGTACTGCAGGCTGAATGGATAGCCCTTCTGTAGCATGCTGCTCTTGGCCTAAGGCCTGGGAGCCGGTGTTGGGTAAGAGTTCGTATGCGGTGCTGTTTGCTAGTTACTAGATGGCTTTCCAGTGGTGGATTCATCTTAAGCAGGTTCCCAACAACCAGAGCCACTTAGGCGTTCTGAAAATACCTTTCTGCTGACTACCAAGGAAATAATCTTGCTGAGACTGAGGAGTGTGATTTGTGTCTTTTTAGGCGTCTAATCTGAGAGGTATGTCTGGCGGTAGTTCTGAGAGTTGGTGGCCAGTTTTAACTTCTCTGCCCCTATTTCTGTTTGCATGTTCTTATCTCTGTAATCCCCTCATTCTTCATCTGCAGACTGCGTGGTGAACCAGACTGGGAAATTAGCCTTTTCCTTCTTTCCTCTTCTCCTTGATTTGATGTAATTTTGATAGGAAGCCATGCGAATTCTTGTTTGGTTGTTACGGTGAGGATTTCTGGGGCAGGAAAAAAGCAATTAGGCTACTGCTGCCATTGAAAATTGTTTATTCAAATTATGTTTGAAATGGCCTCCCTTGATTGAACCTTTTTGCCTTTAGTCTTGCTCTACTACGGCTACTATGGTATTTGTGGTGTGTGCGTGCAAAGTTCCTGTTGACACCTGCAGAGGTTTAGCTGAAGTTCTGTTTACATTTCTGTCTCGCCTTTTTGTTCCTGAAGGACTGCCAATTATGACAAAAATTATATTGAATTTTTAAAAAAATCTATAAAGAAAGAATAGGGATGAGGAAGAAGGATGGGACATGAGATCAACTGTTTATCCTCATCTGTGTTTTCTTTCCTTGGTCTGCTGTATAGTATTTGTTTTTACCTGGATGCTTTTACAGCTTAACTTACTCATGTTTGGCAAAGAAAAATTTTTGTGTGTGCTCGATAGTAGTAGTTTGAAAAGTTGAATGTTGTTTTAGTGATCACTTTCTGAGTCTTCCATATGCGATAGACTGTTCATAAGGTCAACTCCTGTATGTGTCTTTTTACAACTAGTCATGCTGTCAGTATTACTGGTGTCCATGGAGGAAGGAAAGTTGAATCAAACATTGCTTACACAAGTTGCCTTTTGAAACGAACTAAAAATAGAGGACAACTCATCGTTGGATTACAGAATGGGAAGACTGTAAAAGCTATTATTAGTTAATTAGAATTAGTTAATTCTGAGGAATAAGGAGAATGATGATAGGTTTGAAAGAATTTTAACAGTACTTATGTGAAAAGAGATTCCAAATTGAGAAGACCCTTAGAAGAAGCTTCTTCATTTCCATGTCCTGTTGCATTTCAGTAGTGTGGAATGCTGTCTAAATAACTTAATCATCTACAATAGCATGTAGTAGTGTGGTTATTTTTTCCTATAAAAAAATCATAGAAAGCTTAATTCCTCCTGCTGAGATTAAAAGGAGCTGTGGATTATGGAATGATTTGAGAATCGAAATAACGATGCAGGCGTTTTTATTTCTGAATCTTTGTATTTTGAGGCTTTCATCTTAAGTTAATGGTTAGGACTGGTTACTTAACCTGAAAATGCTGTCCTGTCAGTTTGCAATTTTATTTTTTAGAGAAGGACTATGTTTTCAGAGTTGGACATGAAATACTTCTGGTTTGCAAAATAAGTATCTGTTTAATTCTGTATTAGATTCTAGTTCATTTTGAACACCTAACTTTCCAGTGATAAAACTAAATAAAAATTTATATTCATATATAATTTATATTCTTTATATTATCTTCCATAGGAGAAACTGGAACATAGTTCTGTTCTTTCTGCAGTCTCCAGAGTCATAATCCTTCAGTGTGTTTCAGGGCTGGTAACTGACTACATGCTTGTGAATATGGATTATTTTTTCTTAAAATTGATGTTAAGTAGAAAAAAAATACTAGTTTTAATCAAATACTAAGTGTTAATTAATGATCCACTATTACTGAAATCTGGTAGAATCTGGGATATGACACTGTTGATTTAAATCACTATCTTGACTGTGAAGGCATGCTGGAAGCAAACACTGCATTTTTCTATTTTTCATAGCCTTACAGTATATTTCCATAGGTCTTCAAAGCTGGTAAACTAAGTTAGGTAAACATAGGTCTTTTAAAGCTAAAAGTAAATGTATAACATAAATGACTGAATAATTTGGAAATGGTAAAAAGCAGGAGATAATCTTATCACTTGCTCACAAAGAAAATGTTGCTTGGAGAACTATATTACTACATTCTGTATGATTTTTTTTGTGTGTGTGTGTCACTCATATTGACAAATGATGTACCTCTGAGGGTTATTTGATATATTTGTTGCTTTGTTGTTTAAGGATTTAAGTCTCCTGCGTTTTTCCAAAAGTCAGTCCATGGTCATGATAAGTTAATGTTCAGACTTCGAGTTGACTGTTAAAAAAATTTTATTATTAAAAATAAACCCATAGCCCTTCTCAAAGAAAACAGAATTACGTCATTCCAGTAGCTAATACGCTAGAGAGAGGGGTTTGGGCTACTGTGTTTTATGTGCTGTCTCAAGTACTCGAGAGTTCCCAGGCAACTGAATTCTGAGTATTTTACCCAAAGTAAGCCTTTGCTGATCAGATGACAGCTGTATGGTGTCATAAATCTTTCAAAGATAAGATGATCAGAGTTGGCTGAGAGGAAGAAAAGAATCACCCTGAGTTTAAAACTAGGCTTCCTAGCAAGCCTACAAGTAGGTGCATCTGCCTCTTGTGTATTCTTAAATTGTTGTCCTGGTTGTAGTTACTTTCTTTCACCATAACCATTCTGTTCTTGCAGAATATTCAGTGTGAGAGGAACAAAAAGTCTACAGGTACAGATAGATGCAGGATGTTTTTAGTAGAGAATTAATGTTAGTTTAGTTTTTAAACTACATTTGTTTTGCCTCACAAATTGTGATGCTTCTTGTACTGTTCTAATATGGTCATTTTACATAATAGGAAATTCACTAAATAGGCAAACCTGCTTCAGGCTGAAAGAAAAAATACTACGGGTGTCATAAAAAGATAGGATAATCTGTAACTCAGGAAATGATTCTGCAGATTTTTCTCCTTTCCCAAACCCATCTGATGGCTGTTTATAAAAATGAATGAGTTTTATTTATAGTAACTGGGTAGAGGCACAGAACAATAGGGTCTTTCTCAAATACAGAACAATAGGTGTGAAGGACTGGAAGGAAAGCGTAAGGGAACAATCTCACAGTCAGGATGATAGCCAGTAGTTTCAGGACAAGGAGAGCTTGATGGCTGTTCGTATTTTTGCAGGCTTTGTGACAAAGAGAACTTGTGGAAGGACCTAAAGTTTAATGAGGTAGTGCTAACTGTTTTTACAAATGTTTCCTTCCATGCCTAAAGAACAGCAAAGAGGAGGAATATAGTAAAGTAGGCTTTTTTTTTTTAAAACAAAAACAATCATCTCTCCTTAGCTTACACTGAAGATACTGGATGAAAACAGATGAGCTAAGTGTGACCAGAAGGAGTGGGAAGTCGGCTGCAAAAAGTCTTGAGCAGCAAATCTTTACCATGATAGAAAAGAACAACTTAATGCTGTGACCGGAGTCAGTAGAGCCACTGCAGTAGCTTGCTGTTCTGACCTCTGCAGAGAGGCATTTTCCTGTCCAGGCTTCGCTCCCATATGTTGTCCTACCCCATCTCTTCTCCTGACATGCATTTAATACTCTGAATCAACCAAAATAACTTTTCAAACAAACAAACAAAACCCCAAAACAAAATATGAGAAAAGCACCTGTGGAGTTTTTTTGTTCTGTTTTGTTTTTAATTGTATTAATGTGTTGTCATTATAATATCACAGGTGGCTTCATGCCCCAGACCTGTTGCAAAGTAAGCAGTAAGAGTGTATGGCTTTTGTTGTTCCACCTCTCAAGGACATGCATTGCTGTGTAGCAGTTTGAGATTTTGCATAATCCTGCTTAGGTGGGGACTGTTGCTGAGGTGGTTGTCTTCTACTCATGTGTCTCCCCTCTCTTCCTCCTTGCATTGGATCTGGTAGCTGTTTGGCCACAGAGTAAGGCTGGGAGTAATCTGACGAAAATTGATAAAGTGAGAAAGGGAAGGATTAGTTTTCTAACATCTGAGTTGACAAGGGTTTCATATGAGCAGGACTGTCCTGATTGTAACCTGTGGTTTCTCGGGGTTAGCTGTCACGCCAGTTGTGGTAATGATGTACTCTTTTATGATACAGAATGAGGTGATGTTGTTCAGGGCATGCCGTCAAATTGAGCCCTAAATGGAAACTGCCAATTGTAAAATACTTCCTGTCTCATGTTTGTTCTCATATTTCTGCTAGATTGTGGTAGTAGAGGAAGAGAAATGGCATTGAGACATGCAGTAAGCATGACTAATAGCCTGAGGATGGCTCTAAACTGGAAGGAATATTAAAGGTATTAGCAAAAGATCAAAGTTAAAAATGCTTATCAGTTTACAAACATGTATAGTAGTCATTAGGGTTCATCGTCTCTAGTGCCTGAGAAGGAAAGAAACCCAAAGAAGTGACTGTCAGGACCTCTGTAGCCAAGTTGAACTCTTTTAATAGTATGATATCTGCAAGGAGATGCCCTGCTGGAAAGACTGATTTCTCAGTCTGCATAGAAGATGTAATTATTCAGTGAATTTGGATTAATATGTCAAGGTGGTATGTCTGTGTGTGTGTGTAAACATTTCTTTGCCTCCACACCTCCTTATCAGGTGGTGTGAAAAGAACCAAGCTCTAGTAGTCATAACAAGCATACTGAAAAAATTTATGAAATTCAGGCTGTTAAGCCAATTTAAACAAAAGAGCACATAATCCATCTGTAGCCTTGTCACCATTTTCTACTAGCAGGCATTGTCTCCTATTATTAAAAGTTAGGAAAAAAGCCCATAAGACTTTACTGAACTGAGATGGAAGTTAAAATTGGACTTTCAGATATCAAATTCTTAATCACCTGAATTTAACAAGGAAACAGAAAGTGACACAAAGGGAGTAACTCTATGAATGACATAGCTAGAACAAAAGCGATGGAGAGTTGATCCCCCAGCCCCCCTGCACCTTTTCGTTCCTGTCCTAAATGCTAGGCAGCAAGAGACCTTATCTTCCAAGTGCAAAATTGTAGGTGGTTCTTAAACTGATGTATTTTAAGTGTGTGTGTCTCAGCATTATCTTTTGGAATTGGGTGAAAGAAATCTCAACTAAATCTAAATACTTAGTATATTGGGCCCAAACAGTAGCACTTTGGAAAAAAAGGCTGCCTGTTTATGCCTGGGCTCCACTTGTTTAGCTTGTTTTCAAGAGTTACTGATTTTATTTTTTTGAACTAGCATAGACAAAGTTCTTCAAGGTTAATTCTGTAACAGAATTAGTGAAAGATTATGGGAGCTTTCTGTTTTGGCCATTCAGGACTTTATGACGCACAAAGCTTGAAAAAGTAGAATACTAAAATACGTACAGGGGTGCAGCCTTTCCAGCCAGATTGGAGAGTGCAGAATCTAATCACTGGGAGTTACCAGCTTTCAGGGTGATCACGTTTGCTCCTGAAACACGTAGGAAAGAGTTGGAGAAGTCAGCAGAGCTGCTACTGGAGTAGATTTGGGGATAAATTTTGGAGTGTAAGAGTACTGTGGTATAGGGGATGTAGATACATTACCTGATCAGAAGAGATGTGCAACTCTAATTAATGTGGTACAGCGTGTTTTAACTCAGTTTCTGCAAGTCTTACAAACCCCTCAGGAATTCCTAGCAGTAAGGTAGAGGTGGAACAGTACAATGCTTAATGAAAGATAAGTGAAAAGATGACACACAGAATCACATGTGTAGTCTGGTGTAGAAGGTGTTTGTATTAAGGGGAGAGGGGAAGAGACAGGTGGCGAATGGTTTAAGTGTATAAATAGGTTTTTGTGGCAGACTCATTGATACAGAGATCATAGAATAGAATCACAGAATGCTTTGGGTTGGAAGGGACCTTTAGAGGTCATCTAGCCCAACCCCCCTGCAGTGAGCAGGGACATCTTTAACTAGATCAGGTTGCTCAGAGCCCCATCCAACCTGACCTTGAACGTTGCCAGGGATGGGGCCTCCACTACCTCTCTGGGCAACCTGTTCCAGTGCTTCACCACCCTCATTGTAAAAAATTTCTTCCATATATCTAGTATAAATCTACCCTCTTTTAGTTTAAAACTATTACCCCTTGTCCTATCACAACAGGCCCTATGAAAAGTCTGCCCCCATCTTTCTTGTAAGCCCCCTTTAAGTACTGAAAGGCCACAACAAGGTCTCCCTGGAGCCTTCTCTTCTCCAGGCTAAACAACCCTGATTCTCTCAGCATTTCTTCATAGGAGAGGTGTTCAACCCTCTGATCATTTTCATAGCCCTCATCTGGACCTGCTCTAAACAGGTCCATGTCTTTGCTGTACTGAGGACTCCAGAGCTACTCCAGATGAGGTCTCACCAGAGTGGAGTAGAGGGGCAGAATCACCTCCCTCGACCTGCTGGCCACGCTTCTTTTGATGCAGCCCAGGATTCGCTTGACTTTCTGGGCTGTAAGCGCACATTGCCAGCTCATGTCCTGTTTTTCATCTACCAGTATCCCCAAGTCCTTCTTCGCAGGGCTGCTTGCAATCCCTTCATCCCCTAGCCTGTTTTGATACCAGGCGTTGCCCCCACCCAGGTGCAGGACCCTGCACTTGGCCTTGTTGAACCTCATGAGCTTCATGTGGGCCCACTGCTTGAGCTTGTCCAGGTCCCTCTGGATGGCATCCCATCCTTCAGGCGTGTCAACCGCACCACTCAGCTTGGTGTCGTCTGCAAATTTGCTGAGGGTGCACTCAATCCCACTACGTTTCTGATGAAGATACTAAACAGTACTGGTCTTTAATGCAGCCTGTCTCTGCCTCACATAAAGATGATGTGTTCCTTAGTTCTGTGTCACCTGATGTTTTAGAGGCTTATTTGCATGGTTTTTTGTGTTTTTTAAAAAAGAGAGAGAGAGAAGCAGATACTAGCTCAAATGGAGAGAAAGAAGCTAATTTCTACAGAGAGGGCAACACAATATTCTAGCATCTACCCAAAGAGAGTGTTTAGAAAGGATAGTTGTCCCACTTATAACTGCCTGATCTCATACTCAGTCTTTATTCTTCACATTTACGTTTATTTGTAAAACAACTTTTGGACTGTTTGGATTGCTTTCCAGATTTTAACAGGTAGTCTGTTGTTCAGGTTTATGTCTAGAAAATTCTGGGATGACTTTTATTGACTACCTGTCTAATAACTCCATTGGTTACTTCTTGATGTTACATGCTATGAAACATGTGTTTTCTAGATATGTTAATTAGAAACACTCTCAATATAACTGCTATGTATGATGTCCCAATATGGCTACAAGAGTATAAGGAAAAACTTAATTAAACTGCAGTTCAAGATATGTACTTAGTTATATTCTAGAAGTAATCCAATTTGGCTGTTTATTCATTTGCAAACTATTTGATAGACAAGAAAAGTTTTGACTGGAAAATATATATGTGTGTGTGTTTGTTTTTTTAGGCTTTGCTCACTGCAGTAACATCTCAACACATAGAAATCCACGAAGGAACAGTGCTACAGGCTGTAAGAACATGTTACAATATCTATCTAGCAAGCAAAAATCTCATAAATCAAACCACAGCCAAGGCCACTCTAACACAAATGCTGAATGTCATTTTTGCACGTATGGAAAATCAAGCAGTGAGTATCTCAGTATCTTTATATAGAAACTAGCTCTTAAAAGCAAACCAGCTTGGGAGATTTGTTTTGTCATTATTATTAAAGCTTTTTGGCTTTCCCAACTTACGTATTTTTGGAGGGAAAAAAAAAAAGAATCTGGTATCTTACATCATTCTTTGTGTTTTTCGCTCTGAAATAGGTGTGAAATGTGGGTTTGGGGCGTGGGGGTGGTGCTATACACCAGTGAGTTTAAACTTCTTGTAGTGGTCCTCTATATTTAATGAATATATTGTTTCAGTTTCTGTTATCAGGTTGTCAAGGGATGCCACACTAACTGCATACAAATGCCTATGGAGTACATCAGTGTTAGTGAAATGCTCCAGTGGTGTTGTGATGATAAACACCAAAGAAGTAATCCATGATTAAGACAAAACAATCCCCCAAAAAAACCAAACAAAAAAACCTTTCCAGTCATGTAATCATTTGCATTTTTCAACATTTTAATGTGTAGTAGTCACTAACAGATATTTATATGTCACTGAAGTTGCTATTGTGAGTTGTCAGCAGGGACCCCAGCGTATGCCCTGTGCCGTCTTCTGCTGATAGTAAAGATCAGTAAGGCAAAGTAATTGTCCTAATTCCTATTAAAAAGAAAAAAACACCCAAAACCCAAACAAACAAAAAAGCAGATGCCCAGATTTGAGAACTGGTTGAATTTCTAGCTACTTGTAGAAGTAATTCTGCTGTATTATTACAAGCTCTTAAGTTTTTTCTAAGAATATGTAGTATTTTCTTTCTTACTTTCCTCTCAGAAGCAACTGCATATTGGTACATGGTACCATCACAGTCGAAGATTTATGAGAAATTACAGTAGGTCATGGCAAAAGCCATGCATTACCTGAGTGCTTCAAGAAATCTGTGCAGTTACTGTCCTTTTAAGCAACTTAATATAGAAGACGATTATTATTATTATTATTCTACAATGGAAGTCTTAATTTTAGCCAGACTATAAGTCTAGTCTTTATGCGAGTTTATAAGCAACTCTGCTTGTTTTGCACACTCAGGGTAGTTATTTTAATATGACAGCTAACAAATGTTAGAAGGAATTACTTGAGCTGTAATTTGAAAAGTAGTATCTACTCAGGATCTATCTATAGCACATCAAAAAGTGCAGCATAGAAAGTATTAAGTGGAAGAGTAAAGGGCTGAGATCATAGTAGCCAAAATAACAGTATAAAAAGTTATAAAACTTTTGATAAACACTAGGCTCTGCAGGGATAGAAAGTCAGTCCTTAGAGCATCGCCTCAAAGGACACCCTGCTTTGGTTTGACTTTAATGACTGTTGTCTTAATCCATTAGACAAGTAACAGAAATTCTTTCTGGGGATTCCAGATCAAGGAACCACAAAACTAAAATAGTCTTTGTCTTACAGTTTTAAGCATGATGATTTTTTCCTGAGGATCTGTCTTCTGTCGTGTTTTGGAAGTGCTGCTCTTTTCAGTTTTAACTCCCGTTTTTGTTTTTTTCCCTGGATGTTTAGTCAGTTTCTTTTTTTTTTTTTCCCTGGTGTTTTGGTGTGTTTTTTTTTTTTTTTTTTTTTTTTTCCCCCCCCCCCCCCCCCCCCAAGTCTTTCCCTTAATATCACATGCTCGTAGGATAACAGAAGACTCGTAAGTTCTCCAATGTATTTTTCTTTGTGAGAGCTTTCAAAAAAGAATTGTTTCTCCATGCAGCCCTTGTATGTTGTCACATCTACTGGCTGAACTTCCTTACAGGGCAGAGTTCCTTAGAACTCTTGGTCCTATACTGCGCATAGTTTAGTCATCCCTCTTCCACAGTGAAGGTATGGTTAAGTGTAATGTGCGTAGTTGGGAGGCAGCCCTCTTGCAAAGGTTCATCCTGTGATACTAAAATTATTTATAATAATACAAAGAATGCATTTTCTTAAACCATTAGAGCTTTATGAAGGTACTGTGTAAGCAGAGACAATAGAGATTTCATATTTATAAAATAATGTATACAATATGTATACAGCTCATTGTTTTGTTTTGATAGTGAAATTCTTGTGTGATTGCAATGCTTTTGTAGCTTCAGGAAGCCAAACAGATGGAAAAGGAAAGACACAGACAGCAACACCATCTACAGCAGTCTCCAGTAAGCCATCATGAGCCTGAGTCACCTCAATTGAGACATATTCCAACACAGACTGATCAGCTATCCAAAGAACATGAGAGAGAGCTTGACAACAGCACAAATGATGTGGACAAGAACCTTCAAGAAGATATAGAGGCAGAAAATGGATCTGATATTTCTAGTGCTGAAAATGAACAGACAGAAGCCGACCAAGCCACAGCAGCAGAAAGTAATCAGTGTGTATTTCTGTTTCATGGAGGGAGGGAAAAGGTCTGTAAAAAGAAAGGCTTGAGGATTGTCTTTTTTTCCCTCTCCTAAATCTGGAATCAGGCATATATTTTCACATAGTTGACTAATGCGAAATGCCTATTGTCCTTGTTACCATTGCTAAACTTTATCACGAGTATCCTTTAATCCTACACTCTGTTGTAGTCACTGTAGTAAAGATTCCTCTTTGCACCTATGTAATATTGTGAAAGTTTTTGAGAATAGTATCTTGAAACCCGTAAGTTTTGAGTGTTTAATGTACGTGAAAATACAAAATTGATGTCTTTGTTGGCATAGGCCTGTGGATTAATTACCGTTTACAGGCTAAACACTGGAATGCTTATGTTCTGCAAATACTATTTTCAAAGCATCCAAACATGGCTTTTTTTAACGTATACTCTCCTATTAATAGAGTTGTAATTGAATTTTTAAATATTAAATGCAACTAAAATACCTCCTTAATTTCTGACTTTCTCATTACTGTTTGTTTGGGTTTGTTTTTCTTTTTAAAGATCTTTCTAGAGCTGATGGAGGAACATATGATGGTGAAAGCACTGAGTGTGAAGAGAAGGCGCAAGAAATTGTAGAAAGTATTGTGCAGGAAATGGTGAACATAGTAGTTGGAGGTATTATATTAATATCTGTCTAGTCAATGGCGACTGCAGTCTGAATCTTGACATTAAGAATTATTTTAACACTTCTGAATATTTAACTAAAATATGTCATTATTTAAATAATACTTACATGCTGAAGAAAACCTTAGCTGTGCATTATTTAACAGTAAAACGGACAAGATTTCATACATTAATTTACACTCTCTATATTGGAGACTAATGTTCTTTTTAAAATACAAATTCTTGTTCCTTCTTTTTCTATTTTGTTTCTAGATAAACTCTTCACAAATGGG